ATTGCTTTCTCGCTTGGTTCACAGCCAGAGAGCAGGACGGCGACACTTAAGCCCGGCATAGATATGTTAATGTAGGAAGCGGTAGTTACTGTGTAAATTGTCTTTGTCAAATTAAATACTCGATTTGGAACTGGTTTGATGGTGCCTTATCGTGTTTGAATGCGGCTGAGGCATTACTTTCGACGAGTCGGGACGTTGTTCAACCGTTCGCTCGTATAAGGAATCGATTTGTGTTTTAGTGAGATTTAAATTCGAATACGAGGCGAATAAATAAACATATAATGATGTTTACAAATTAATTTTTAGCATAGATAGTTCATTTCATGCGTATTAATTCATTAGACTCGAGTCACCCGAGACGAAATCACAAAATTTTAAATCGAAATTATTTATTTAAATTACTACTTTTAATGTTTTAATTGTTGGTTTACCAAATGTGCGGTAAGGGTCTATGTAAGATATACTGATATACTTACTGATTTAATAAATATGAAAAAATTCACAGTGTGGTAAGACGGGCAATCAGCACTGGGGACAAGTGGCACCAGCCGACCTTATACCTTCTGTATAGAGAAAATTATGGCTAACCGTAGGATATATATGCAAAGTGCTACGCGAAACCAGCACAATGTGCAAGTAAGGTACACTCGCGTTACAGAACCAGGCCAGCCTGGAGACGGTGAGAACCGTCTCCAGTCCAATTCATACAAATTCGTCCAATTAATACAGTCAACAAATAAGTCGGGAATAACGGTCCGAGCCTCGATGGCCCGTAGGCAACGTTCTTTCCATTCAAAATAAAGCACGTGTATTAGCGTGGCAAAACTTGGGTATATATGTATTTTATATAAACGACTTGCTCACATTTCAGAAACAGTGTTAGTAAAAAGATATTCAATAATATGTATTGTTCATACAATAACTGGAGTCAATTTACACGAATGACAAGATTAGTAACCTTCAACGAGGCTAATGAAGCAGGCGGAATAAAATTCAAGAATGAATCTGTTCTAAGTGCACTCCTGCGAAGTTGCTAGAACCGCGCTAGTTATGCAACATCCACCGGCTCATCACAAAATCTGTTATTATAATTACGAAACAAGTCGGCGTAACGTTGAACCCCTAGGGTCCTTGCGGGTGCAGGTAGGTGGCACTTGATTTAATTACCGTTGCAATATTCCTTTTGAAACATGCTTTTTTTTATAAATACGCCGTTCGTACACGAATCTCAAAAGGACCCACTGCACCGGCTGAAATTAATCCATTGTACATTGCAATAAAAAACGAAGTGGATGTTTTTGACATCAAGTAGACAACATCTTCATGTTTTTAGAAGCCTATAATGCTTGTAATGTTTACGGAAATAAAGCGCACAATGTATTCTCCCCCGACGGGGGGCGCCGTAATGAAACAGAGATACGTTCCCTTTTGTTTTTTGTTTTTTTTTTTTTAAATCCTCACCTGATCAACGGAACAAACAATGCGGCACTGCGTAGATACATCTCGTTTCGCCGAGACCGACGCGCAAATGTAAAATAGTAGGGCGGAAATTTACATTTTGATTGGAATTTCCCTCTCCGATTCACCCCCCCCGTCCCTCTCCCGCCCCGTCTCCCCCATTGTGACCGGGAAAGTTGAAACCGCCCGTGGAGGATAATGATTGGGACCGCATCACATAATCTAACTCGGCATCGTGTCGTTGCTGGGAAATACCCAGCAACGAGTGCAACAAGTATAGTGGTTTTCATGGATACATTTTTAACTGTGGTGGGGCCACGCTATAGTCTTCGCTGTTCCATGAATGGGCAGGTCCGTCCGGGTAAGGTAGGTATTTTATTCAAAGGTGGTGTGGCATCTGCAACCCTACGGGTGTTGCGAATGTCCATGGGTGGCGGTTATCACTTAACGTCAGGTGAACCGCATCTTGCTTGTTTCTTTCACATAAAAATATACAGGATATTAGATCTTTGTAATATTTAAATCCCGATTTAACAAGACACGGCCTAAGTGAAGTTTTTTTTATGTGAGAAGTGGCAACCATGCTGGCATTTCTCCTGATGTTGAGTGATAAATCGCCCATGATTTTGCCGTATATGCAACCCATTGCAAATGCAACACCCATAGGGTTGCATTTACGATACCAACTTTTAATAAGGTGGGCCCCATCTCATCAGGGCTCACCCATCAGACAAAACGCAGAATTATAAAATTTCTTCTTCACGGCGGTTTTCAGTGAGGTCGTGGTATTTCCGCTGTCCGTCGGGGAAATACCTGAACCTGTCCGTCCTGCAACAGCGAAGACTGCTATACCACACTAAAATAAAAATATTTAAATCAAAATGCGTATATTTATTTTATTATTTATTGTTATTTTTGCTAATGTTAGTTTGTTTATATATAATTTTTGTATCCAAATATAATAAAGAAAACCAAGTCCATATATAGTGAAGAAGATTAGAAGTACAAAAACTATGTTGCAGTTGTCAATCGATCGCGGCCACTCGTCTGTTGCAAACAAACGGCATAAACGCCTCGGGGACTCTGTAATGAAACGGCGCAAGCTAATGAAATACTTGGTACAATACGAACACAAAGCAACTCGCAAAGTGCACCTTTTGATTAAGGCGGTGTCATTGAGTATCTAATTACACCCCGCATCGATGCGCGGCCTTGTTCGGTTCCAAACAAGAGGAGCGAGCGGGCAGTTCCGTCCGCGCAGTGTTGCATCGACCCACGCGAATGCAACGCCGACCGGTTCTCGGGAACTTTTTGCGGTCGCTCGGAAAGACATTCGGCTCGGGTGCGCGGGACAAAAAGCGACGCATGGGATGGATTCTTGGCGGACGCGCGGCGCCACGCCCGACGCTCGTGAATTATTGTCTTTCTCATAGAGTCGCAAATGTTGTATCCGATTATTGCGGCCTCGATGACAACTCCGCGGAGGGTACGGCCGTGTTCCGTTTTACACTTTTTTTTTTTTCATTTTGTCATGTTTTTGCTACCCCTCGAGTGTTGTAGATGTCTGTGGGCGGCGGTAATCAGTTGATATTAGGTTAAACCGCCTGCTCGCTTGCCAATTTTCATTTAACAAAGAAATCCATTATCAAATCGTCGTATTCATAATTGGTTATTTAATAGTTTTAAAGGAACGTTCTAATTATTTTTTTCATTATTGGGAATATAATTGTGATACGACGAAACACAAATTATGAGCTCATTATTAATGTTGTAGTTAATATATAATAAATATTGTAATATTATATAATACGATACATCCCTGTTTAGGATGTACAAGTGAATTTGTAATGAAATGAATACTATAATATAATATACCATAATATAATAATACATTACAGATACGTGCAACATATTAGTATAAGAAAGTAGAGGCGTATTTAAGGCGAGGTATTCATAAAACACAGGAAATTTCACAATCCATACCGCTTGAATATGTCTTCTTGTATTAACTGATGTTTTTGCTTTCAGTCCCGAGACTATTAAAGCTTCATCTGACGCAGCTTGAAAATGTTAAGCATCTTTCATCTGAAACATTTCGTTTCGATCCGCCGCCACCGCGATCGTATTAATGATGCCGATTGTGATATTGTTACGTAACGGATCCGGAGTTTGTCGCGCGTTCGCGCTCACCTCTCGTCTTCTTAGAACGTCGCGGCGACCCGTTGTGCGGGACGAGATAATGCGCCTCGGGGAAAATCACGCGGTGCGCCGGCTATTTAGCCCGGGATTGCGGTCTTAATTACAATCAGTTAGCGACCGCCCCGCTCGGCCTCTAATCAAAATGCCACCGCGACCGGGCTCTTTGTTGTCGGGAAACGAAATGGGAGCGGACAGTCCAAGCGAGTCTCCGCTCCCATTTTGTGGGGATTGGAAGATTGTCTCTTCGATATCGCAAATATTCTCTCTCCTGCATCTACCCTCTTTTTTTTCTATGATAATCTATTTATAACTTATTTAAATCTCTTTATTTTGTTGTAGTAACACTATTGTTGTAAATGAAACTAATTCTACGGATTTATGTCGTGTATTTTTTAGTTTTTTCCCGATGTTTCACGAGGCACGATTTATGCAGAAGGTGCTAACTATGTCTTTTTTTTATATTTATAGCACTTTTGTAGCTTGATTTTTAAGAGAAGATCGCTAAAGTTGATAACGAGTTTGTAAATGTGACGTTTATCACGAGTTCGATCGAAATCACCAATTGATATGTGTAGCGATAATACAATGTTCGAAACGAGGCCGACACTGGTTAGCCAGCAGGTCTGGTCGCCTGTTTCCGTAGTGTGAGTTTTCTTAAAACATTATTCGGAACGCTAATAAAACTTTTATAAACCGCTTAAACGTGACTTATCCCTTCAACTGATTACGCTTTATTTACTTTCGAAGAACGAATTCGTAATGCAATGTGCATTAAAAATGGTTGTGTTCTTAGACGCACCTAACAAGTTATAAATCTTACCCATAACAAAAGAAAAACACTAAAAAAAATTATACCTTCTGCCAGTACTAGAAACTAAAACCAAATATGTCAAACTAAACTATTAAATAGCCATTAAATAAGATAGGAGCGCACCGTAAAGCGATTTCCGTGCACAATTGCGAAAACCATGTCGGATTTGAACCCACTACGCCCCGTGCAGTTCGCGGTCGAACAGCGCCCGCGCCAACCGTGTCGTCATGACGGCCTTCAACCACTTACAATCAGTCGCTCGTGTGTTTGATTAGCGACACAATCTACGCGAAATAGGATTTGCAACCGAAGCGGGCGTGTTCAAATAAGCCCCGACGATCGTCCAACAAGATTAACGCAACGCTACGCTCCGTCCGGACAAATATTCTAGGCACTATCGATGGCCCGTGCAGCGTGGCCTAATTTATACGCCGCTGCGTTCGTTGTCCAGCCTCCGAATTTACTGCCCAAGCGCTGCCACTATGCACACTAGTCGACCAGCACGCGATTCTCGTCTTTATCGGATAGCCCGATGGTCCGCTATTACCACACGCCGCAGCGAGCTCATGTTGTTCAGCAAAACGCAAACCATTGTTCCCTTTGGATCAACACGATACAGGTCAGTTTTGAATGCGCGATGTAAAACTACATCGGTTAGTGCTGCCGTAAAGTGAAATGCATTAGACTATAATACGCTACAATGTATGGGACAACCTAAAGAGTATTTTACCGAACTAATTTTGCTGAACAATGAAAATTTTATCATTCTGTTACGTCGATAACAATTAATGTAATTGCTAATTACAACTTACTAATTGACACTAATTACTTTCGATTTTCGTCTGGTGAGTGAGGTGGCCGGAGCCCAATTTTCAAAGGTTGTCAACGCATCTGGAACCCTCTGGTGTAACGGATGTCAGTGGGCGGCGGTATTCACTTAACATCAGGTGAACCGTCTGCTCGTTTGGCAATTTTTCACATAAAAAAAAGAATTAAAAATCCTTCTTTCACACAATGTAAATATCGTATGGGATATCTGCGCTAACAGCATTACAGGCCCCTCCACTCGGTGTAGTAACAATTCGACATCGGTCGCTCCAATATTGCCAGTACAAAGCACTCTGTTTTGATTCAATTCACGGACCGAGCTAATTCGACGGTCTACTTGGGCTGTGACGCAGTTGCGTTTCCCGCCATCTCGGTCTCGGCTGACGCCACCTCGCTTCGCAACCGTTGCCATCTACCGAGCCCAGGGCCGGATTTAGGGGTCTGGAGGCCTCAGGGCAACAAAGGAGTGGAGGCCCTTTGGTTCAAAATTATTTTCCAAATAAAATGAACAATTTTTTCAGTCGAGTTCTCCAATAAATAATTTATTGTGAAAACAAGTATAGGTTGTTTTATTATTTAAGGAACATATAAATATAATCTCAATTGTGGGGGCCCTCCTTTGTGCAGGCTCCGGGGCTGTATCCCCGGTTGCCCTCCCCTAAATCCGGCCCTGACCGAACCGAATCAGCGTATTCGCGAGCAGCCGCCGAGGAGATAATCGCCAACTTGTTGGATTCGCGATTCGTCTCGACGCCCGAAATTCCCTAACGAGCGGGATAACACGCTCTCGATGGATCCGCGAATGCCTTATTTCCATTCGCCCCAGTGAACGGGAACGAAAGTTGTATTTTGTGCGTAGATTAAGTATGTTTACACTAAACATAGTGTAGTTGTTTAGTTTAACGCGGAGCGGTAATCCTATAATGGGAACGGAATGCGTCTAATGAATTCGAATAGGAATATCGAAAAGAAATCTTTCTTCAATAAATTACTTCGAATGTCTTAGAATATGATATGACAACATACTAACTAGTACATCGTCGTATAATTAGAAATTAAACAATATTTTTGCATTATGCTTATGTTGTATTATATTCAATATAATTGTATATTAATTGTAATATATATTATAAATATATTAAATATATTATAAACAAGGATTTCCATTATGCACTAAGATGTAATGTGCTTTACAGGTACGTAACAGGTACTTGTTAAACTGCTATGGTATCCTTATGATCAGTATCAGATGATTGATTCACCTCAGGTTCATAAATAAACGTTTTTGACTAAAACGTGCTATTATTAGGTATGGAGAGTAGCGTCGGGCGAGCCCTGCCGCCGCGCGCGTAATATTGTCGTAATACCGCCGTTCACAACTATGCCCATTTATTAACCATTGGCCCCACGGCGGCATTAAGAGGCGCATAATCCAAAGCATTCCATGCATCAAAACAAACACCGTCAACGCCTCACCCGGTACAGTGTATTGGATTTGTGACCGCCGCACTATTGTTATGTAATTTATAACCGGCGTTAAAGATTGATAATTGAATCCTCACGTGCGTTCTCGATGTATTACTTTCCTTTAAAAGACAACGCTTGTGATACTTGAAAGTATATTTGTGATGATTACTGTTTTTTTTTTAATTGGCATTGTTACTGCGGACTGCGGAGTGCTAAAATGTGCTAAATTTACTGACTGTAACAGTACGATTATATATATTAGTAGATTTTATTTCATTTATGTTCATGCCCTATTATACATCTACTATCTAAAGTCTTTAGGAATTATGTAAGAAGTTTACGTCCCGGACAATATACTCGCAACACGTGCAGTACGGCGTGCACTACGGGACAATCTAACAGCTTATGCTTTGGGGCTCGGGGAGCTCCGACACTTTGTCTAACTACTGTTTTAGTTACAGTAGTTTTACTAAGTCGGAAAGACTTATTAAGTAAAATTAGTGCTCTTGCTAAGTTCGCTTTTGTCGATGCAATGAATTCGTCAATGCTTTGATTGGGCTCATGCTTATTCTTTTCAGCGTCAATTTGTTTTTAATCAAACTTATCTTAGTATTAACTCCCTCACTTTGACTAGGAGATGGAAACAGTGCTAAACATCGCGGGTGTGCTATTTCCGCAAAAATAAGAAGATGAAAATGTTACCAAAATAGGTTCTAGTCGACGATGGAGAGTAGAGCGTTGGGAGAGAATTTCGAGAATTTAATTTGCGGTGGATATTTTAAGGAAAAAAGTGGGAACTTGGAGGTTTGCCAACAAGAGCTTTCATATTAAATAGTCACCATTAAAACGTAACTCCTTACGGACGGCACTGCGCCACGTATACATACATAGACGAGTTTTTTAACAAACTAGTTCGACCGGACAAGTTGAGCGCATTTGCAAGTCGTGCCGCATCGATGGCACAGATACTTTTGTGACTTGTTTTAATGTAACGGTGCGTTATGATACCCCATTTATGAATTTGTACGGGCAATTAACTCAAGTGCGATTGGTTATAGCATATCATAATTATATCGGCGCTACATTTTATTTATGTTTGTTTTTTTTGACATTTTAGACAGAAGAACGGTTGACATCATCTCAACCAAGACTTTTCTGAAGTCGGTGGGCTTAACCTTCATTATTAACTAGCTATTGGACATCAGATAGGAAGACTACTAACCAGTTTTTAGTTAAACCAATTATATTTAGCCGGGATTTGGTTTGCTAAAAGTGTCGCAAAGAATTCCAAATAAAGACGAATAAAAATACAACGCAAAATAATTTAGTTCAATTGAAGAAGAAGAAGAAGAAGAAACGTTTATTCACGATCTAAAAACAAATGAATACATACAAAACTGAAAAATAATAATGTAACTGCACAGAAACTTAAAATAAATGTAAACATAATAATAAGCAAACAAAATAACAACAACATGTGACGGTCTGTGTAGCAGCATAAGACCGTGCAACGGACGGGACTCGGTAAAAGTCGAAGTCTCAATTAATGGTTTGTAACACTTCATTCGAGACGTGCTCCTCTATAACCTTCGTTATTGAACTTCCTGTTCTTGTTGCTTTGGTCGGTATTAAAGTATGCGGCACACGTCGCCGATGGAAGAGTGATTTGGTAAAATCTGCCACCGCTCTTATCGCCCCAACTGCGGCGTGTTGCTCGAGTCTCTTTTAATGAGCTTCGCGGCGCAATTCCTTGTCTTGAGACTGCCGGAGCGTGATTAAAAAATAATCCGACTAGTGAATTTTTGTTTTCACCAAGCGATAAGGTAACCCGCCGGAAATCGTTTCTTAACACATCAACAAGCACATTATTATGTAAATAAGGGCTTAACCCTTTAGAAGTTTACTTCACTAAAGCTATGCAAATATAGGCAGTGATGCCCTAACCTGTTTGAATTCACCATAATTTTCTCTCGAAATTTATTAAGTGCAACACAGCACGCTGCTACCTAGGTACTAAGGTTTGCCATGATTTTGTTGACTATTTAACAAGTTGCACATTGAAAGAAGCTGCCAAACCTATATAAAGGGAGTGGAATGTCTTCCAACACGAATCCAAGCTATGCCAATAATATTAAGAGGGCAGTGAACAAGTTTTTCTGAGTAAGCGAGAGAGAAAGAGAAAATAAACAGAGTTCTCATTTTTGCAAATACGTTCGGCACAGATTAAGGTCGGTCTCTCTTACGCGTTCGGAGCCCGTCTTCAATTATTGGTATCCTGTCGTTCGGTTAATTCATCAAACCCAAATTACAGGGCTGCGAGCCCGACTCCGCTCAATGGAAAGTGTAGCAGTTAATATGATGGGAGGCCTTTCAAAATTCATCTTGGACATACACGATGAATAATACTGTACACATGTAGAGAAAGTTAAGACGAATCTCCGACCATTGAAAAGATAACTCCGTTTATATCCGTTAGATACAGTTTTAATGATTAACCCTATTACATTACAGTGAATAATAAGATAATGTACACATATAGAGAGGCGGACTTAATTCTCTTATTCCTATTAGCTTGGTAAAAAAATTTACACTCGACTTCGATATTATTGCCTTTTAAATAAAACGATCACTTACTTGAAACGGCAACTGAGCAAACTTACCCGATGGTGAAGACCGCCGCTCATTGATACTCATAACACCTTTGGCTACCTGACTCATGCTACGAATGTCAAAAGTATTAAATACTCATATTTCCGGCTTTTATGAGGCCCTGGTACTTTCCTGGTCGCGTTGGTCTAGTGAGAGCGGTCTAGTTGATTTTCTAATGCAATTGAGAAAACATTTAATATTCTAATAATTAACCTACACAAGTGATTCCGTAATGAATTGTAATTTATCAGATTTATGTAAATTTCAACAACATACGGTTCGCTTTCGAAAGAGAGAGAGGAAAACCGTAAACAAACGTGCGCGGCGGTAATTAAGGTTCGGAAATTGAAATGATCAAACAGTTGATTAACACCAATTGTTCGATAAGCTCGTAACCCCTATTTACTTATTTATTGGTTCAACATTGCAAAATACCCGAAAGCAAAGTTTTTTTTTTTCATAATATAATGAATACACACCAATTAATTTTCACGCGACGCCGAACAAACTGTCGCGGACGAATTCGACTGTTTTAAATTTATTCCGAATGGTAATGCGACAAAAATGAATGCTTGATAAATTTTGAGCCAACGTTCTTATTAAATGAATTTGGAACGTGTATACAGCGCACAATGAATATAGGTACTTAATTAGCGCCGACTTCCTTATTAATTGACGGATACGATTACAATTTGCGTTTAGTTGTCGTCGTTTTAACAGGGACCTGTGAACGTCACATCTGATGGGGATTCAATAATGATATTCTATCATAAATCCTATTATTGCTATTCAATGGAAATATAAAAACATAACTAAACATTATTTATATAGCTATCACTGTGTTATTTAAGTATCTTAATGAAAAGCTATTCCCTATTGATCGTGGATATCGTAAACCTTCTAAGCACCTCCAATTTAACTAACTTCGTTCTTTGTCATACACATTTGTTATCCGTTCTTTATGACTCATTATTAAATTTTCAGAATTTTTTGTGTGCAACTTCACAACACTCGAATTTTTTCCAAGGAATCTTCATTGTAGAATACCGACAGTCCCGTATATGAAATACTATCAAAGCAATTTAAACTCCATTCTTCTGTTTGATAGAACACAAATTATGTGGATAGATTTATGTTATATGGCGTTACGGAAAAATCCACTCTATTTCTTTACGTTCAGGGTTAACAATAAACTTTTGCAAGACTCTTAACAGTTTCTTATGAAGACGCCGAAAGGACCGTTTGGGGTATTGCGAAATTTTACCTGCTTATTGCAGCATAATTTTTGACAAATTTATCTTGCATGGCTTTGTATCTGCTTTAAGTGTCTTTATAAATAAAATGATAGAGGTCTGCCGTTATACCCGCATCAAGGAAAAACTACTGGATAGAGAGATATTTACACTATAGATGATAAGGTTAATATATTTAACGGTCTAGTTACAGAATTGTATGACGTCCACGCCCCCGTCAAGGAAGTTAAGCTGAAGCGTCATTCGACTCCTTGGATGACCGAAGGAGTTCGGATGGCTATGAGGCGGAGGGATCGTGCCTTTCGTAAATTTAAAAAGAACCGTTCTGACGAGAATTGGTCCTGCTACAAATTGGCTAGGAATCGGTGTAATCAGATGGTACGTAACGCTAAACGC